AAGAGGGTAGAAATTGAATACCATCTGGGTACTCAGCACTGCCACGTGACACGACACTCCACCATAACCCTGTGGTGTGACAGTATGGATTTTTGTTTTCGAGAAGCGCACTCAAGAAAGTAGTTACATCACTGAAAGCAGTAAAAAACCAGTTCTCTTTACAAATGATTCCAATTTTCAGAGGATCCACATTGGTTTATCCGACCGTACCAACTATTTGCTGCCACCAATTGAAGACTTAGCAACCTGGCCTTCGTGGAGTAATATACATGATACTTCAAAGGTGCCTCAGACATAAACGCCATAAAATACAGATAGTCATAGATTCTCTCGATTCTTAGTATTAATTGTTCAGCTTTTCCCCTAAAATCTACTGAAGTATGTGTACTTTTACAACATCTTATGAGATAGGTTTTATGAATGGAGGAATAAAAACCATGTCCAATTCTTGTAAGTGCGCCAGGGTATAAAAAAGCAATTGCAGGAGAGGAGAATAGGTTAAAGCTTTTTGTGCACTACATATTTTCGCATATCCATGTAGTGAGAGGGAGGGCAGCAGAGACAAATGAAGCCGGAGGTGAAGAAATAGGGCGAACATAAACAACGCAAAAGTGCAAACCTGGAGGTCACGCTTTGATCGCGAAAATATGGCAAGAATAACGATAGCAGGATGATCGATGCTGACGGCGAGCGTAAACTTTTTTCACACCAATCCCCTGTGCCTCACATTTGTCACTCGATTGGACCAAGAACATGGTCCGATCCCTGTGCTGCATCTATAGTGAATGAAACTTCAGTTACTTCTACAAAAAGATTTGAATATTTGACTGGCGGATGGATGAAAGAGTTTCGTCGAGGCCGTACTCAGCTCTCCTTAGCCATTGAAGCCAGTGTTGCAATCGCTTCAAAATTTCACAAGCAATGCGAAGTCAAGCAATTATTCTCTAAGTTGAATAAATCAAAGGACAAGCAGCTAAAATGAAATCACAAGTTGCGCTTTCTCATTGATGTGGTATTTTGTGTGGTGAAGTGAGCTCATTAAAAACAACTTGGTTGGCTGCATCTGCGACCTCGTTTCATTATTCCATTTTTCAGGAAAAAATTACTAAACCTGGTATAGTGAGCTACCAGAAGGCTAATCTTTTTCCAGGCAGAGACGGAGCTGTCTCGGTGAGGTATAATTGCAACACAACCGCCACGCACCTATTGGTCCGTGGAAAAGCCCGCCCTCGGTGCTGACGCAAGCACCGGATATGTGCATCCCCTGCGTAGCGTTACCACCTCAGGGCTTCCCCGCCCCACCTTACCCCCTTTAATTACCACTGCTGCACCAGCCGCATAAGCTAATGTGTCTGGCAATTTTCGTTACACTTTTACAGCGTGCTTCATTTCACCTCTAGAGCGGTAAAAATTCACTCGCCTGTTACAAACACCTGAACGCATTTGACATTGGACTCCGTTTCCATCATATTCGTGTCAATAACACTAAAATTAATCCGTGTTAACGCCATTTATAAATCAGCTGCAGCGTCGGAGATCACAAGTTCAATGTTTACAGTAAGCAATGACGGCCACTGTATGACCTCCACTAACCACAGTTTTGCTTTTCCTCATCCACGATGTCCTTGCGACATTAAACGGTGGTCATTTTCATCCCTCACGCCACCTAATGGCACTAGAACTTTCATATAGTTGGGAACCGGATAGCAGGATGCACTTACGTCTACATGTAACTGAACTGAAGCGCCCCGAATCATTCCCAAGGTCGTAATGAAGATTTATAACAAACCTACGGGCGGACTGGGTGGTGAACACTATGACATTGGCATGCCGACTGAAGCGTCCGCGTAGTCAAATGCACACTTTGAAGCAATGTACTTTACCAATAAAACAGCACCTCCATTTATACACTCAAGTTAAAATTTGCACCAATTTTCTTCACAGTCCAAACACGTGCAAATACCTCTGGCTCTCCGTTCTCAGATCAGCCAACCAACTGCAATGGACGACCCATTTTGTAGTTTCTGCCCTTTTCGCCTAATGGAAGAAACACTTTATCGCTCCACATTTCGCGCTTAGCACAGCCATAAATTGCCGAGCTTTAGAGAGCACTGCTGTGGTAATGCGACAGATTACGATCCCGCCTTTATTTTCGCGCCCACACGGGGAAGGAGAGAAGAATCTGCACGAAAGGCGGGCAAACTGCGACATTTCAAGAAAGTATGCAAAACTCTCCCACACAGCGCCTAGTTATGCAGAAGAGGTGGCTGAAGAAATGGGACAACTGTGGCCAGCAATAGACAGAAGGGAAGGAAAGGAACAATAGCAAGTGAACAACAGGCTGACATGGAAACTTTTACATTCTTTACCAAAAAAGGCTGTCTTGTAACGTCTTCGGGGGGGGGGGGCTAGTCGAGCACTGGCACTCATTGGAAAAGACCAACGAAATAGGAGAATGAAATCTGACTTTGCAATCTCCACAAAAAGTGAAATCCAGTGGTGGTGGGCACTTCTGGTTAAAAAAGTCAGTTTGATTGGAGAACTCACTTTTAGATTGAAATTAACTTGGAGAAAAAAACCGTGGATAAAGTCCAACATGTCCTTAAAAAGTCCTTAGGTAGAGCAACTTTCATTACTGACGTATTTTATTAATGAGGCACAAGAAACAGTTCATCATCAAAGTAATTTATACAGTGGGTTATAAAAAGAGGGACTATTCGCAATTTCCTGAGTAAAAATGCCACAGGTACGGTAATAACGAGGAGGTAAACGAAAAGACGAATCTTGCAGGGATTGGGTAAAACAACAGCGAGGTAGCTAAGACAGTTTTGCTTTCTGCCTCATTACCGAGCATGGGTTTGAGGGAGGGCCATTGCCTTGACCGCTGTAGCAACCGCAGATTAGCAAAATCTACTTATTTTCCACCTTTCCTAGGGGAACGACCAAGATAGTCAAGTCGTACAGGACTGGTTAACCAAACGGAGAGTGAAATTACCCCACCATCCACTCCACAACCTTAAAGAGTTCACGGCACGGAAACACAGGACGAGGGGCCTGATTAGAGGTTTACTTAAACAGTCCTACCAGCGGCAACTTACAAGGCCGAGGACATAAAAATCTGTTTATATTAAAAACTACGTTTGCAAGATTGCAAAGTACCTCCCTCTAGGCTCTATCCTAAAATCTTGGCTGCCGCGACATTTATTGCTTTTTTGCTCATTATAAAGCCTGCGTCTAAGTGGTAATTACCAGAGCTTAGCTGTTGGGCGCTCCCAAGACTGAATCAAAATCCTTCACAAATAATAACGGAGAGGACATGTGTACGGCTTAGACCATTCATGCACATTACTTCCTATCATAACACGATTGCCTCCTGCACTGAATGGAAGGAAAATGTCCTTAATCTCCCTCTTCTTGATGTCGAGCTGTTTACCGCATCCAACACCCAATAGTCACCCCTCAATGATAGACCGATCCAGAGAGGGAGAGATACAGAAGTAATTGAGCGCATTTAGAATCGCCTGATTGGTAATAGTTATATCGGCAGGACGTTTAACAACACCCATCAAGGGAGGCACACCCAAATGGAACACCAAGATGCGTAGAGAGAAGATTGCAATGCAATGCGAAAAGGCCAACTTGAATAGATACTTACTAAACCTAAATGGTCGCAACGGTGCTTTGTGGAGAGATGTGTCACTCAATAAAAGACAAACAGGCATTTCCACCCACCTTTAACATTTTACTGAGTAGAATTTGCGTTTCGGAAAGTTCCAGTAGATTCATTTTGAAAAATAATGTTTCAGAATCACATGACTGTTACTAACATGTTAACAAAGCCAGAAGGGACCACAGAATACAATTTGCTGGACAGGACGATATTTCTTTAAGTTCTCTGTTCAGCTAACCATGCTCTACGGTCTCGACAGATTTCAGTCACCATCTTGATGTTATTGTAGTCCTTTCATGACACTTCCATACATTTATCCAGACAGATACGTTATAAAAAATCACCAAGAGGGACTGGAACCCCAAACACCAATCCAACACGGCGTGGCAGTTGAGTACGTGGACTCGCCGTAAGATCCAGCCTATATTAAAGACGTGGATTTAAACAAGGGCGGATGGTGCGGATCGAGAAAACAAGTTGCCCTGTTCCATCAGACTGCCATGTAAGCCACAATGCACCCGTGTGAGAGCTACATATGCGCAGAGATGAGATGTGTATCTAGAGTGGGGAGGAGAAAAATGTAAACTAGTCTAGAATCTCGAATTTACTATCCACGTGTTTGTGTGTCTGGCGTCGCGCCATTAACTCAGGCTTGGACATGAACATGGTAGGGAGGCGCAGAACACGACTTTTCAGCGTTCACCGAGGTCCTTTAAATTGCAAATGAGATCATTATCAGCCTGCTTTTTTAAGCATATAATTGCCTTGCCAAGTTCATTCACCTCTTAACTGAAAATAGGCCTTCGAATTAGCGCATTATAGCTCGGATTTATTTTATGCAAAAGGGGAATCCGTTTGGAGTGGAATGCCGTTTCCGAGATGAATCGGGTACATAAAAAAATGATACATCGTGCACTTTACGCCACAATAAATGACCTTGATATTTCGCCGTAAATCAAGGTCAAAAGTCCTGAAGCCTTAGGAGTAAAATAGGATCATAACTTCAATAATTAAAAAGCCATTTCATGGCCCCGGCAAATTTATGACTATAAACAAGAACAATAGTGGCTCCGCACACTTTAATGGCGGATTACATGGAAGAGAAGGACTAACGTAGGTTTCACTAAAAACTACATCGTAGAGTGTTGAGACTCGAAATATAAAGTCTTTCTCGATCACATTTTAATTTATAAGAAACAACAAAAAAGAAGGTGGGAAAAAGAGAAATCCCTAAGCGTCTCCATCCTGCTCGGCATATGGAAGCAACAGCTGCAGGCAGTTATCGAAAGAGATTCCATCCACACAGACACACGCACAGGTAAAAGTATATTCAAACGTGGTGATATATTGCCGCCGCCTCCTCCTCCTGCTTCTCCTTTTCCCTCTTCCTGCAGCGATCAATACAACCACGGAGGGCGTAGAACCCGAATCGCCGGGAGCTTTTGTTGACTTAGTCATTCGTTCGCTTGCGCGGCAAGACTACGAAGGTCAATTTTTTTCCAGCGGGCAAAGGAACGAAGACAACAGAAATCGACAGTACTGAATTAATTACCGAATCTCAGATTCCCCTAAATAACAAATTTGGCTGCCAAGAATTCCGCTCGCGTTCCAGTATGTAATAAATTGTCTGAGTTTGTGACTAGCCCCCGAAAAGTCCTTCATGCAGAAGCTTTTGTGATAACATGGAGATCATAGTTTACGGTGTTTCCAAGAGCAGTTGTGTCATGGAACCGCCGCAGCAGGATTGGTGGTGAAAGTTCCTTCAGGTAGACGATTTCAATATCCGATTCTCAGCTGGAACCGAAGCAAACGATGGTGATCCGTCATTTATCACGTTTCAAGAACATGATAAGAGTTAAGCGAGCATGCGAAAGACAATTGCTTCAGGAACTTTCCATCACTTACCGCGCAGCAGTTGAACCACTTTTCGCAAACCGCTACCAAAGTCCCCCAAAAAGGTACTTAGCTGTCATCCACCATCCGTTAGAACGGCGAAATGTTGACATTCGGAAAAGTACTTAAATTAACACTCCCTCTTCTTTTGAATCCAAATTAGACACTTCAGTATTTGATAGCAAGAGAGCTTAATCAATCAAGAAAGCATTAAGCATAGATTACAATTCTCGCATCCTAAAATAAAGGCCAAACACTTAGACCTACCCGAACCTACATAGCCATAGTGGTAGATTCAGAGGGAGGCGAATATATATTAATGGAGGATACATTTGATGCAGTGTTTACAGTGCTTGATTGCCACTGGACCAGAGAGGGTTGGGAGTGAGGTGGGAGGGGACATGAGGATGATGCGGGGGTGGAAGGCGGGTCGCGGAGGTGGGGCACAGTGGTGCAACCTAAAGTAGAGGTGCAGTCATAGCATTGTAAGACAAGGCTTTCGAATTCGCACCACTGTCCGTGGTTAGGCGATGAGGCGTAAAGGAACAAGTGGTTAGAGTGAATGAATTTTTGGAAATCAAAAATCTAGTTCCCTGTGGCAGTCCTAGCCCTGTTAAGGAAAAAACACCTAGCTAGTTATACGTTCTGGGTATTGCAGTACAAGAGACCGGAGCGGTCTCTAGGTGAAAAACGATTCGACCTAAGAACAAGCGATTATTTAAAGACTATTACAACAACTCAAAGCAACTGCCTTACAGAGATCCTAGAGCTTTGCTACAACCCCTCAGGCAATCGACTTTGTAGAAAAAAATGTTATGATTTAATTACAAGCCACACATAGGATGTGGGAGAAACAACCCTAAGCAAGATGAAATGTTTTCAGTCAAGCCTGAAGTATAACAGACAACATAATCCCCTTCAATCCGAGCTTATTGAAGCGATCACCGAACATTAATGCTGTTTGGCATACCAACGCCACACTCCATGTGTGTCAAAAGCGGAATAATCAAGTTCACTGAATCAGGAGAATCATATATCAGCCATAGCAACAAGCTCCAGAAAGCCAAGGAAAAACTAAGTTGCAAATGAGGCAAGGTAAGTACCTTACCGACTAACTTAACTGAAATAATACATGTGCCACTAACAACATGTCGAAAAGTGTTAAAAGGCGCTGCCATTTGCAGGGTTTTACACGTTATCTACCAGGTTCTCAGAGAGTGAACGAGCACCACAACTGAGATGTCATATCTTTCTAATTTAGTACCGAATGGTTTTCTTTTTATTTTCTTTTCGTTAGATACCAAATCCCTTATTCTCATAAACGAAAGCCAGCTGACATCTATAGGGACGGGTGGAGCATTAATCAAGCAAAAGAGAAAGAGAAACCGTTTCCATTTTAGCAGTACAACGACTAACCTTCAAACTGACGGCTGCAGCAGCAGTGGCAGCAGCAGCCGAAGGATTGGCTCGAATGGCCGCAGCAAGGGCAGCGATAGTGACAGCCGAGTTGGCCGCATCGTCGCTGGTGATGTCGCCACCACTGCTACCAGCAACTCGGCGTGACAGTTGCTGAGATGGAGATGGAGCGACCAGGAGCGCATTTGCAGGTGGTAATGCCGCTGACGTGGGAGGGGTGGAGAGGAAGGGTGGAGGTGGGATGCTGAAGTTTGCGGGGGGTGGGATGAGGAAGGAAGGTGGAGCGACACCGGTGGATGATGGAGGTGGATTTGCGGTGGAGGTAACACCGGGCGCCAAGCCGGCTTTCGTTGCAGCCATCGTGATCGGTGCAGCGGCAGTAGTTTTGGGTTTGTGGCGATGGTCAATGTGTGCCTGCAGATCGCGCTGACTGAGGTAAGTGCGACAACACTGCGAGTCCTCGGTGCACTTGAAGATGCCTCCAAGCAGGCATCGATCGCACGAGACGTATGAAATTTTGCATCTGAGGTGAATAAGCAGACGAGAGGTCTGGATAAATAGAGCTAAATAAACATCCACAAAAAGTACTTAACCATCAATACCAATTTTCCTCAAGACAAATAGGAAAGGTATTATCACACTGACTTTTTGCCGTTGGTACAAGGGGTTATTCGACCGATGTTTGTATGCAATAAAATACTACGCATGATTCGCGATTTTTGATCATTTGGTGAGTCGTGGATAATAAGAAGGAAAATTCACCAGCTAACCCAAAAAAGAAGTCCAGCTCAATCCATACATATTTCGCTGTAATGACTTGCTATGACTTGTAGAAAAACGAAGAATGCTAGTGATTATTCCCACGCAGGCTTCATAAAAAAATTGGTTAAAATGGGTCGGACCATCGACACGGCACACTTTGTTGTGCCCTATGCCTTCAAATTCTGTCAATTGAACCTGAA